TTCTGAGATGAGGTATTATATACACTATTTACATTATTCGGACTATTGTCCTCATCTTTGTTGCCATATTTATTATAACGTTTCAGCCTTTCAGTATCTGTCTATATTTCTGAGATGAGGTATTATATACACTATTTACATTATTCGGACTATTGTCCTCATCTTTGTTGCCATATTTATTATAACGTTTCAGCCTTTCAGTATCTGTCTATATTTCTGAGATGAGGTATTATATACACTATTTACATTATTCGGACTATTGTCCTCATCTTTGTTGCCATATTTATTATAACGTTTCAGCCTTTCAGTATCTGTCTATATTTCTGAGATGAGGTATTATATACACTATTTACATTATTCGGACTATTGTCCTCATCTTTGTTGCCATATTTATTATAACGTTTCAGCCTTTCAGTATCTGTCTATATTTCTGAGATGAGGTATTATATACACTATTTACATTATTCGGACTATTGTCCTCATCTTTGTTGCCATATTTATTATAACGTTTCAGCCTTTCAGTATCTGTCTATATTTCTGAGATGAGGTATTATATACACTATTTACATTATTCGGACTATTGTCCTCATCTTTGTTGCCATATTTATTATAACGTTTCAGCCTTTCAGTATCTGTCTATATTTCTGAGATGAGGTATTATATACACTATTTACATTATTCGGACTATTGTCCTCATCTTTGTTGCCATATTTATTATAACGTTTCAGCCTTTCAGTATCTGTCTATATTTCTGAGATGAGGTATTATATACACTATTTACATTATTCGGACTATTGTCCTCATCTTTGTTGCCATATTTATTATAACGTTTCAGCCTTTCAGTATCTGTCTATATTTCTGAGATGAGGTATTATATACACTATTTACATAATTTTGAAATAATGTCCTTATCTTTGTTGCCATATTTATTATAACGTTTCGGCCCTTCAGTATCTGTCTATATTTCTGAGATGAGGTATTATGTACACTATTTATATTATTCGGACTATTGTCCTCATATATGTCGCCATATTTATTACAACGTTTTGGCCGTTGTACGCTCCGGCCTTCTTCAAAAATTAAACAGATTGAAAGATCCGAAGGTGACGCACAAGGTCCATCACCCACAAGTGAAAGCTGTAATGAACATCAGCCAATATCAGCTGAGTGCCTCTGAGGAGTCAGTATTGAATAAGGGTTTCAACTTCGCTACAACCATCAGGCGGGTGCCATACTTGGATGTCACTGCCAGAGTCGAGGAGGTGGCCTTAACCTACCCCGAGCTCAGGCGGATGAACTGAGAGGGAAGTTGAGACAAATCTTGAAGACCCAGGTCAAACATCACGAAAACTGAAAAAGGCTTTATCAGTTTTATTGCAATTTTCTACATCTTATTTATGTGAATGAGTTTCTCAGCCTCAAATAATATCAAAAATAAGAAGCAAGAAAGACCACGCTCAACTGAAGAAGAAATGAGGATCTGCTTATTGCACATTCAACCAAACATTAAAGAAATCGCGAAAAACACCAGGCACGGGTTTCACACTAAACAAGCTGCACAAATATTTGAACAGAAACATTGAAATAAAGTTCATATTTGTGCGTGCATTTTTTAAAATCCATGTTTTTATTTAATGTATACACATTTAAATGTATTCCCTTTCAAAATTTTTCTAAGTGTCCCGTGATATTTTCATTTACACCTATTGTGTGCTGTTGCTTAAAATGATTGAGAAACATCGTCCTATATTGTGTTCAGTGCATTGGTGGTGTCAGCTATACCTCTAAATCCATTTACGGCACTGTAAGGTGGTGGTAATATTCATGTATCTCGGTTCGTTATTACTATCGGAAAACTAAAATATATCTGGAAAGACATGACAGAATCTGGCTGAAATCAAAGATGAGACTATTTTGTGCTTTTGTCTTTTCAATCGCATCACAAATGACGCAGTGAGAGAAGTTATCAAACAAGAAACAATCCCATTGGAAGCTCTCTTATCCACCTTTAAGAAGTGAAATTTGAAATGGTATGGATACGTCATAAGAACCAAAATGGATTCCACTGCAATCTTACAAGGTGCTACCTTAAGCAAAAGAAGAGACTGAGAAGGAAAAACTGGTCCATTATAACACTCAAAGAACTTGAAGATCATTCACAAACTTAGATATTGGTATAATTGATTAAATGATTTTTACGGCTTATCAACCTTTTGAAGGTTTTCTAAAGCCAGAAAATATTTTTAGTCTCTAAGATTTTTTAAGATAATAATGGTTTAGTACTAATTAACACTTAACTGGGGGTAAGAGGTGAATTCACACCTTTCTCAAGGGTATTTGCGCGGAAGTGAATATAACGAACCCAACGGGAGATTGAACTCGGCTATCCCATTAACAATTCCGTACCATTATCGTCACACCATCCGCACATTCAAACTTACAGCATATCCAAGTTTACAGCAACTGGTATTCCCAAGCAGTCACCTATCTAGGTACTGACCAAACTCGACGTTGCTTAACTTTTCTTTTAACTTTGCTTTTGCTTTTCTCTGGTACTAAGAATTAAACAGAAGATTAAATTGTCTTCTTGGGCCCCAATCTATAACAATACTCCAACCCAAACTTCTCTCTCTCCCTCCCTCCCCCCCCTCTCTCTCTCTCTCTCACACACACACAAGCGGAATGTGGCAAGCCTCTCGATGCTCTATCACTATTTTCTCGGAAAGTGTTCGGACGAACTACATTCCTTGGTTCCATCAGTTCAAACCTTCATGGCTAGGATCCGATATGCCACTTACATAGTAACAAAACACACACATCTCCTCCTTATTCCATTGGTGAGGAGTAAGTTCCGTTCAAATAGCTTCTTCCCGCGAACCAACTCCCAAGATGTTTCCCCGATTACTACAATCTTAACCTGTTCAAGTCTAGGGTTAACCAACAAAAATAAACTACATTTTTATAATAAAATGGCCAACAATACATTTTAAGATCTATAAACTATATATCTAAAATAAAATACCTTTACCCTGAAAGTATAGAATTATGCACAACTATATGTATATTTAGTTGAAAACATAAAATTGCATTAAAAATATCTAAACTTCGGCATTAAATAACCCATAGTGGGTGATATGCTGCTAAACAAAACCAACCAACCAATCTAGGGCTAACCGTTATCTCCCCTTCCTATCCACATTGCCTCTTAACGTAACCTTTTACTTGGAGTAGCCTTCGTCCTTTGTACAGGGTAAACCTTACTGTAAAAACAAAACAATACCCCCCGCCCCCAAAAAGAAAGAAAGAAAAAACAAAATACTAACTGCCTCATATCATTTGTCTAAAATAATTACTACCATTAGTTTTCAAAATGAGTCGTTTTTTGTTTTTTTTGGTCTCTAAAATTAGCGTCTAATGCTTAAAAACCACTGTTTTCATACCAGAAAATAAGTAAAAGCTGGAAAATGTGTATTTAAATCAAAACAAAAAAAATGTATACCGTAGGATAATATATATAGAACATGAAATTTTAATGAGAGATAAAAAAAGAGAAAAAAACAATATAATATCAGTAATCTTTAAAATTCAATATCTGTTTAAGGTCGTACTCCACTTTTAACATATGACTTAGCTCTCCCCACTTTTTTAATACGTGGGGATTTGTTTGTAAATCTCTCTCTATTTGTTATCCAGTGTTCAAATTTGGTTTGCATAATAATTGGGCACAAGAGAAAGTTTTAAGTTAAAACAATTACAGTTTGCAACCGTTCATTGTCAGATTATAATTTCTTATTAATGTTTGCATACGAAAATATCCGTCTGTTTTAAAAAAGCAATACACAGAACGATTTCCCCAAAATATATTTTCTACTTTTCATAATGTTTTGTCATTGGAAATTTACCAGAAACAAATGAATTCTTTTCTCTCTTTTTTTAACGCTACTAATTGCTTCCCGGATAGAGAAATCGGAGAGCCGAGTTCAAATTCCAGTCGAATCCGTTACATTCACTTACGTGCTAATACCATTGGGAAAGGTATGAATCCTCTTCTAAAGGCTCCCCCCACTCCAAGCTAAGGGCTAATTGCAGGACATACCGTGTTATATAGCCTTGGCTGGCAACTGGTTTACTGAAGAAAGAAATGGCAACCTACTACGGGAAAAAAAGCTGCCTCGTCAGTCATGTATCGAAAGATACATGATCGCCTAAGCGTGTATCACCCATGTCACATAACTGACTGAATTGCTTATAATTGAATTTGAATAATAACAATAACGAATTTCTTAGTTATATATTTATTTTCACTTGGTATAAGAAATAACGTGAATCGGATTTAATTACGCTTTGTAAAGAATCGTTTCACTGTCAGGATAACTAGTTTTGAACTCTTACCCGGCGTAGAGATGTACTTCAGCTAGTAGGCAGCTATACGGCGAAGTTAATACCATGATAAGTGGTTTCCAAGACTATGATCTGTCAAGGTTCGAAAGTGATGATGGAGCAGCTCCAGCCCAGATATGGCAACAATATTCTATTTTTGGTCTAATCTGACTTCTGTAAATATAAAGCATGGAGAAAAGAAGCGGGTACACCCTGAAGCGTTAGAATGAGCTGTCTATTTTTTCCAGTATGTTTAGCAATGGATCGTATATAAGAGTTCCTCTTGAGGTCTCGTGTGAACTTGAGACTCAATAGACATTCAAAGCACAGAGCCTCGTTGTGAGTTGAACCGGTCATTATGACTGGAGAAGGCTCCGTGTTCGATCGGTGAGGATGAAATAGAGGTATTGAATGTTACAAGCCAGTTTTTATTTCCAAATGAGCATTGAAATGTTAAAAAGTTACTATCCTGTTCTTTCCCCCGTTGTGCATTTGAAGTGTAAACAGTTTTAACGAAGTCTAGCAGCGGGATAAATCTTCGCCATTCTGTTTTTAAGCCACTTCTAACATCTCTGATCAGTTTATAGCTGAAAGCAATTAGAAAGGGATCAAAGATTTACCTTTCCCTGCAACACTCGTATCAAACTCGAGGCAAAATTCCTTGCCTGATTCCAAGATCAAACGATTAGTTTCATCTTTCTCGTCTTCCAAATTCGTAAGCAGCTTCAATCCCATTAAATCCATGTGATTCTTTGAAGGTTGATAGCTTCTGTAAGTTTAAAAAATATATAAATATTAAGAAAGCATAACTTGAAGAGATTTACTTTCTAAAGAATTTTAATTATGCGTTTAAGACGATAGATTGGTTGATTTTGTTTAGGGGCACATCACCTTGTATGGGGTTATTTAATACCAAAATCTAAATAATTTTAACATAATTTTATAGCATCAGCTAAATATATTTTGAACGGAACTGTATGTCTTCAAATACAGATGAAATATATTGTTGATAATTCTAATATAAATTTACATAGTTGGTCATATTACTATAAATAAATATTGTTAGTAATTCTACTATAAATATCCATTGTTAGTCATTTTATTATAGATATGCATTGTTATTAATTTTACTCTGAATATCTATTGTTGGTCAAATTACTATAAATAAGTATTGTGGGTTATTCTATATGTATCGTTTTTCATTTTAGTATAAATATGTATTGTTGGTAATTTTACTATAAAAATGTATTGCTGGTATTTTTGCTATAAAAATGTATTGCTGGTATTTTTACTATAAAAATGTATTTTTATACTTTCATAGTGTTTTGTCTTTGTTTTAGGGGTTCACAATTTGCCCATAGCTAGGATCCTAACATGTGTTACCATCAAGGTGGACCCGGAAACAACAGCGATTAAGAGGTAGTTTCACGCTTCTCGAAGCCTCGATTCTCTCGGTCAGAGGCCGTGCTGCCGGATGTAATTCATCGTCATACCCAGGACTATTAAAATTTCATGGAAAATTAAACAAAAGAAACGGTAAATAATGGAAAGGAAAAGAAAACAACAATCCGATATGTCTTGCTTTATATGAAAGCCTTTGCTAGGAATGAAAGGCGCATTTGGTAAACTTACTTCAGCCATAGTCTCCCGTGGGACGTAAAAAATGACATGGAAATCCAAAGGCGCATTGGAATAGCGAAAGTGTCTCCCCGAAACTAAGCAAGGTATTAACTTACAGGAAAATTTCGTTTAGTTGCAAAAGCGCTGAAAAACTATATAATATCAATCTTCCTCGATGGCAGTGAATGCTGGACAATTTCCCCACAGATGAAAGGATCTTCTTCTTTATGTACCGTATGTTCTCGGGAAGTAGGCGATCATGGCTCTCCACATCTTTCTCTCCACGGTAGCTGTTAAATTTTGTCTTTTCGTTATTTCGACTAAACCCTGTCCCGCCATCCGTTTACTCAAGCTCACTAAGTGTGTTATGCGTTGTTTTCTGTTCCTCTTTCCCTCAATCTGTCTTGTGAGTATCAAATTTTCCAAGCCCTCCTACCTTTTTACGTGCCCCAGAAATTTCAACTGCTTCTTCTTGATGTTAAGTATAAGTTTCATTTTTGTTTCCATTTTCTCTAAAACTTCATCGTTGCTCACATAATCGGCCCATGGTATCCTCAGCATCCTTCTGTAGAACCACATTTCTGTTGCTTCAAGTTTCTTCTTCATCTTTGCTATACAGGAGGACAAATATCACATAACAGTTTAGTAGTCTTTTCCGAGTTTCTAGCGAATTTTTCTATTAACTCTGCTTAGCTTTTGGAGTGCGTCTTTAGCTATTCTAATACGTTTTCGGATTTCAGTGTCTCTTGTAACCCAGAAAGGTTTATTGAATGAGGAATAACTAAAGCGGAGGTTGGAAGTGAAATGGTAATCTTTATAACATCAAAAAAATACAATACCCGCCAGCGGCGTGAAGTAGGTAAACCACTGCTAATGGCGGATTACTTAAACAGCATATTAACCCCCCACCACTTACAATAGTGTCCAACGTATTTATGAGCACCGGTGCATACCCAACAGTGTTCATAGGTACAGTATATAACAGTTTCACACTTTCCGTTTTGTTAGAATCACTACCTAGACTGATGTGTTTCTATAGAAGAATGCTGCAAATCCCATGGACAAAAATTATGAATGGCGAGGAAGTTTTAAGAGAAATGGAAATAAAAAGGACGCTTATACTTAACATCAGAAAGAGACATTGAAATTTCTGGCACACATGATAAGGAAAAAAGGTTTGGAGAATTTGACACTCACAGGACATATCGAAGACGAGAGGGACACTTAACTAAGGAGCTTGTGTAAATGGAACAGGGATCGTAAAAGGACAAACATTGCTCAGAGTATAGGACGTCGTGGAGAACCATGATCGCCTACAACCTGACGGGACACGGTACATAAAAGAACACTGTCCGTGTGACAAAATCATATCTCCAGTGAAGGAACCTGTGTAGAATTGAATGATATATTTAGTGCGAGCAAAAGTTCTCATTATTATTATTATTATTATTGAAGAAGTCGAGACTGAAATATACAGTAAAAAATGCTTCATCTCTTAAAATAAGAAAAGCCGTCGGAAACGACATTTAGAGAGAAAAAATCTCCTACCCAAATTTTAGGTCCCTTCAAAGTATTTCTCTAGGGACGTCAGTGTCCGTTCTACTTTACAAAAAAACTTGGGGTAGTCTCCTTTCGGAATCAACGTCAGTTCTCTTCTCACTCAATTCGAAATCCCGTTCACGGTGTTTCAATGGGGATTTCACATTTGATAGAAATCAGAAAACGCAAAGAGTGCAGCAGAAGTTGTTAGCTGACACACATGGGTGTGGCTGTGTTTCGCCAAAAACCCACCACAAGACGTGAATAATCTACTCACGAAGTAGAATTATGAATGCGTACACAAGCTCATTCACTGGCGACTAAGTGACTCCATGGAAGAGTTTTTGTTCTCATGTTCACAGGAAAGTCGCCTCTGATTGGACGCCAAGTTAAACCAATGTTGCGGTTCTAATGATATTCAAAATTGTGAGACAGATACTGGACAGATCTCGCATATATATATATATATATATATATATATATATATATATATATATATATATATATGAATTACACATAAAGTGCTGGTGTTATTGAATACCATAAAACATATATATTAACAAATATACATACTATTCCACATCGTTCGCATGTTTCGGAGTTTCATGTTAAACGTATGAATTTCTCTCTCTGTCTCTCTCTCTCTCTCTCATATATATATATATATATATATATATATATATATATATATATATATATATATATATAAGTGGACATTGAAGTCAACACCCTGAGGCGACACTCTGTTTTAGGCTTAACGATTGCGTTTAGTATGAAATAGACTGTCGCCTCTGGGTGCTGACTTCAATGTCCACTTTTATATTTTGTTATTTAGGAATAACGTGTCGCTGCCGACACTTGGGTTTGAACACAGATCATCAGAGAGCAAACACAAGCAATCCCATTTTGAATAAGTAGATCACATGATGGTAAAGGAAATGTATATATGGGAATTAGCGTGGAGTCTAACTGATCACTATTTCTACACTATCCTCTATTATTATACGGATCGCTATTCTCTATACTGTTCTCTATACTTTTACTCTATACTGATTACTCTACGGATTATTATTCGGATCACTATTCGTTGGTTACTTTACGAGCGAGTATTATCGAGCAAGTAATATTAGTGCTAGTGACATTCGAAGGCATCTGACACCAGTATTGTTCAACGGCGTTACTATAGTTGTATCTGCGATTGTAAAGTCTCTACTACGAGCATTACGAAAGTGACAACGAGTATTCGTTGACATTACAAAAGTGGCAACGAGTGTTCGTTGACATCACAAAATATTTACATACGCTATATCCCATATACTGAGCACTTTAATCCATAAATATAGCAGCCCTTCAAACTATATTTCATCACCGTGCAGATGTGGCTTTTTGAGCAACCAAAAAGCTTTTTTTTTCGAAGAGAATGAAGAAGTGCATTGGACGATACCATTTATAATGCATCACCCTTTACAAATACATGTTGCAAAACAAAATAGTATGTCTGATAAGTCTGATAAGAATAAATTGGCAGCTGACCTAAAAAATGGCCTACATTCTGTTGTTAACTGGGACAAAGAATGACCTGTTAATTTTAACGTCTCCAAAACGAAACTGCTCACTATTTATCATCTGAGAGAATCCTTTCTACCTTCCATCAGCATGGCTAATGCTGACATCAAGTGACTCGTTGCGCCTTCTCAAGCCAACGTTTTTCGTTGACACGAAGTGGAAAGATTTTATTGAATTAATTGCTAGGCGTACTAGACATATTTTCTCTCCAGAATCTATCTTACATATTTATAAGTCTGCCATTCGTCTGTGCCTGGAATATTAACTGTCACATCGAGTCTGGCATCTTTTCTCCTGAATGCTCCAGCATGGACAACTCAGAAAGTAGTCCATGCTGGAGCTTTCGATTCTCTTATATGGATTCCATTTTTGTATTCTTCCATCGTTTTATTAGGCGAGAAGAAATTTATTCAGAGTTTGACGTTCTTCCACCTCACTATAATAGTTCCCTGATTTATTTATTTAAATGTAGTTGCAATATGCACTACACAGGACGAACGAAACAAAGGCTGGATGCTAGGATTAAACAACACGTGCCTACAAAAATTCGGAATTCAACTTATTCACTATCAGATGTTCTGACCAATACATACGGGTATACCATTGCGGAACACCTTATAAATAATCGCAGTTGTGCGGCCAATTTCACTGCGGACTCATTTTCCATCTTGAGTAGGTCCCACTCAAATTACCATCTTAAGATATTGGAGGTCATATATATTTTATCCATGAAACCTTCACTCTGTGAACAGAAGGATTTTGACCTTGGCCTTCAATTGATTCCCATTTATTTTTTTTCCTTCCCTTATATTCCAGTCATTTTATTAATAATGTATACATATTTATTAACCTCGATTTAGCTCTGTTGAGCAAGATTCGAAAGCGGTTAGATAGCTGATTCTTTCCTTTTTATTATTGTCATGTTTGGTATTAGAAATAAAAAAATTAAATATATATATATATATATATATATATATATATATATATATATCGATGTGCCAAAATTCATGAGATAGCAA